TTGAGGAACCTGGACTTGGGGCAGCAGAGAGAGTAAATCTGACCCAGGAAAGGGAGAGCTCTGAGAGAGACCCACAGAACACAGAGAGAAGGTTTACAGACACAACAAGTCCGGGGGAGATTCTTCATAACGCACACAAAGCTATGAGGAGATGTGATGATGACTCATAGGGAGGAGTTCTCCTTTCTGCTCTCTCCTCAGAGCTGAGTGTGTGCTCATTCATGAGGATAGGGGAGGGCTCAGCAGAGCAGAGAGGAATCAGCTGATTGCAGTTTACAGATAAGAACCCGACCCTCAGTAGAAACAGATTGAAGATCTTGTGGAGGGAATTTTTAATTTCTCGGAGTCTGGCCTGTGAAAGAGTCTATTAACCCTTTCGCTGCCAAGCCCTCCGGAACATTTTTCAAATCAGCTGGCACAGCGAAAGGGTTAAATAAAGTATGAAAAACAGCCCTGTGACTCCTGACAATGCACACACATGTACATCCCCCCTGCACCTCCACATTACCACAAAAACACAAATCACTTACAAAGGTGGAAATGTCCATTGAACTATTTCCTCACTGTAGACTTCACCTCTTCATCACAGATGAAGCCCTGGCCCTTCAAGTCTTCCTTCAGTTTTGGGAACAAGTGGAAATCACTGAAGCCAGGTCTGGACTATATGGTGGATGTGGCAGGACTGAAAAGTCCAGGCGTTGAATTACATCTCTTGTTGCTGCACTTGTGTAAGGCCTGGCATTGCCGTGTTGAAGAAGTGTTTCATTTCTGTTCTGGCTTTGTTCTTACAGACTTTCTTTAAAAAGGAACAATAATAAACTCTGAACGTTATATTGAAACTCTTACTGCATTAGAAAGAAGAATCAAACGGCTCGTAATAAGAAATGAAACACATGTTCAATACAACAACCCCAGGCCTCACTATCCGCAGGAAAAAGGGTCTCGCACAAACGACCAGTGTGAATGGGCACTTAAGTATTTATAGTATTCTATTTATTTAGGCAAAGCTCCCACAACATACATGACCCGATTACACTAATTTGGACTAATGATCTAGGATAAATTAGTATTAACCTTTCAGGTGGCAAATGCATAGTAATTTAACCTAGCATTTTTGTCTACCTACAACCATGATGACTAAGCCAGTCAGGGAAGCAAGCCTTGTTCTTAATGTGTTTGTTTTAACAAAAAGAATCAGAGTAAGCCTAACTGTACAAATGTCAGCACAATTCTTGAAAATATTATATTTTTCCAGGTTATACAAACAAACATCCTTATTTTGGAGCAGTGATTGGTCGTGTTGCAAACAGGATTGCCAAAGGTACATTCACTGTGGATGGTAAGGACTATCTTCTACCAATCAACAATGGGCCAAATAGCATCCATGGAGGACTTAAGGGTTTTGATAAGGTAAATAAGGGTTGTTTTTTTTTTTAAAGCTACAAGCACACAGTAATCTCTTGTATAGTATACTGTACTATCGAATTGACTTAATTGTATGTAGTAGGGATGCAACGATACTAGTATCGGTGCCGATACAGAGTATTTTGGGCGAGTACTCGTACTTGTCCAAATGCTCCAAAACCTTTCCTGATACTGGAACTTCCGGTCAGAGGGAGATTTCCTCTGACCGGCAGTGCCGCGAGGGAACATGGAGCCGGGAAGCTGGCTCCATGCTGTTTAGCTGGCTCCATGCTGATTGGCCGGGAAGTCAGCTTCCAGCCAATCAGTGTTGAGCCGGGCAAACAAATCTGATAATATGGCGACACAACCCCCACCCTGCCGACAAATTATGCCCCTCACATAGATGCTTGGCAGCCGTCATTACCGTACCAGTCCCTCGGCCAGCTGGGCAGACACTGCTCTCCCGGATCTGCCCACGTCTCCTGTGTGTACAGCGCCAACGTGATCGGCCCTCAGCCTGCTACTGTGCATGCACAGGATTTCTGAATGAGAGTGCTGGCACAGGCTGGTCCTTACCACACAGGTGTATTGCCACACAGGCTGTATCACACCAGCTTGCCACACAGGCTGGTTCCAGGGTGGCGCCCTCCAGACTCCTGCACAGAGACCTCCTCTGTCTCTCTGGTGGAACACTGAACATTAACCAGCATCCTATTCATAAGGGCTGTGCACAATCAGTCGGTGCTGGTCACCACTAATGTCCGGACCCAGGAATGAAGATTTCATCCCCCCCAATGCTCTTTGAAATCCTCCATTTCCAGCAACCCAAGCCAAATCCGGAAAACCTGGGAAGAACTGCAAAGCCAACTCTTTCACTATAAAAGTTTGTGCTTTCTGGAACCGTTCAGCCCCCCTGGCTGAGAGTCCTGGGTGACTACGTTGCCAAATGACACCATGGCATTGCCACGCACTGCCACAGTTGTCAGAACCCTGCATTACGTAAATGGACTTTGTACGTTATGTTCTGATAATGAATGATGTCAGTAGTATTGTGTAATTTTGAAGCAGAGCCCATCAATAATCGGCCTAGAATTCAGCATACACGGTGGAGATAGAGAAACCGCATGACAGGACAGTTTGCAACAGACCAAAAGACAATGGCATCATCATTGGGGCATACAAATTTCCCTTGACCTGATTAAAAACCTAAAAAACCTGTGACTCAACCAGAAAGTGACATATTACACATTCAGCCTCACCCTATGCAGAGGTTTTCTAGCTCATGGGACAACAATGTAAGCACTGGCAGATTGAGAGTAGAGATCATTGAGAGCAGGTTAACTTTGCAGTTGACCCTTAACACACACAAAAGAGATTCAGCTTAACAATGTAAAAACATTGGCCGAATTAAGGAAAAGAAAACATATTACAAAAAAGACATAGATAAGCAACAGCAAAATAAATGGGAGTAAAAGTAAAAAATCTTTGGTTTTGTTCAGAGTACTTAATTTGAAAGAGAAGAGTCTAATCTGAGCTTCGAGCCACAGGCTTTCATGAATGACTTTTAAGGCAGAGCTCCGGTCAAATTAAATATTAACCCTTGCAGTGGGGCTACCCCTGCACGGCAAGGGTTAAGTGATCATTTTGTCTAGGGAGCTAAAATAACAGTGTTATACTCACCCGAATCACAATTTCCTGGAGTTCTTTAACCTCATGCCGTCCGCCCGTTGTAAAAAAACGGACGGACGGCACTGCAGCATTGGCGGGTTGCCGTCTCCAGACGGCATTTTTTTTCTGCTCGGGCACGCACGGGCAGAAAAGATATTATCGTTTTTTGAGGTTTCGCGCGCGCACGCAATTTTAAGGCTTGACATGTTTGGTGTCTTTTTACCCGACGTGACCCCATCTTTTATATTTTACCAAAAAATTGGGTAATAATAAATGTTTTATCATTTAATATAGGGGAAACTGTTTTGTTTTTTTTTTATTTCGGTAATTTTTCCTTAATATAGTAAAAAAATAAAAACCCCAGTGGTGAATAAATACCACCAAAAGAAAGCTCTATCTGTCCCCAAAAAAGGGTATAAAATTCATTTCAGTACAGCGCTGCATGACGGAATAAATCTCAGTCAAAGTACCGCAGCGCTGAATACTGAAAAATGGCCTGGATGGGAAGGGGGTTTAACACCGCAGATGTCAACTGGTTAACATTTCCTGGTAGTTGTGATGGAGACAACAGCTATTGAGCTGCAGATGCAGCCATCTTTTCTGATCTCTGAAAAGGGCATTTACAGAAATAAGGGTCTGAGGAGTGTGCTAAAGATGTGTTACAGAGTTTTTAATATTCCAGTGGACACTCCTTTTTAATGTCCACATTTTTAGCAATATGTAAATGTCCAGGTGACAAGGTTTTTCAGTCCAACAACCAACATAATAAAAGGAGTGAAATTACCATTTGACAGAGACCAATTATGATACAACCCCTATGCATATTGTGGCTAGGATTAGGATATCTAATGTACTATTAGCCTTCTGCTGCTTGTAATATAGGCATGCTTCATGTTTACCTTGTTGTTTTTTTTGTTAGACATCAGTATAATCACTTATATGAGTGTAATTTGGATTATGAACAGAGTTAGGGCTGGTTCACAGCACATCCAGTGTATTCCGGCACAATTAGTAGCCGTAACGCACTGGGTTGCATAATTAAAGCCTCCTGCGTTCTGGGGTGGGAGGGGGGTGTGGTAATGCCATTCGTGTTAATGGCACCGCATCCACCCCTCCCAATGCACTATTTTTTTGCAATTGCATGCACTATATTTTGCGATCGCACCTCACAGGCCCATAGGAATTGCTGTACCAAGCGTTCCGGTAAAGGCGGTCGCGATGTGGGCACATCATCATAAACACACCATCCTTACCATGAAGCATGGTGGTGGATTTGTTCCAGCAGGCCCTGTGAGGCTTGTGGGGGTAGAGTGAACAGAAAACAGAAAAAACTATAGGGAATACTGGAGAATAACTTCTGAGCTTTAGGAGATTTATGTTCTAGCGATGACTTCAAACATGAAGCCAAAACTACAGAAGAATGGTTTAAAAACAACAATAATATCAATGTACTGGAATGGGCAATTCCAGATGGGGAACATGTGGCTGGACTTAAAAAAAAAAAAAATAAAAGAGAAAAAGATGTCATTTGCAATCCCGAGGCAACATGACAAAGCCTGAACAGTTTTTCACATAGGAGTGGGAAAATTGTAATGTCTAGATATGCAAAGCTGTTAGATACCTATTCACACAGACATATGAATGCAGTTGCTGCAAAATGTGCATTTACAAATGTGCATATACCTATGCAATCAGTTATTTATAGTTGTAAATTTTCTTTGATCTCAGTAATGCAGAATATACCTATTAATCTTGGGTCATTGCTTATGTAGTCTCCCTTTTCATCATATAAATTAAGAAACCCCCACCAGTCTCACAGCCTAACTCCATCTTGGACACCCATCACACCCCCATGCTTTGTCATAATAGTTTAGCATTAGATGTTCAGTGGTATAGTTAAATACTACGTACAAATTTACATTGTATTCAGCAAAGGAAGGTCGGCATGCTGACACCCCAATAATAACAGTTTCTACCTGAGGAATATCTGGAATATCTTTCCCAGTCATTCCAATCCAACTACAAGGGGGGGCTTTTGAGCCAACAAATCAGACCTTTTTTCTTTAACCCCTTCACGACTAACGGTGTACAGTGTACGTCGCTAGCATCGGGGCTGAAAAGTTTAGACTTGTAAAGCCGATTGTTCGCTTTCCAATAGAAGCGATTCTGACGACTCAGCCCCGATGTGCTTCCCGGGCTCCTTTTGCCCCTCCTACGGGCCCGGGACCGGCTTCTCTGGTGTCGGCAGGTAGCTGGGGAGGAGATGGATGAACCTCTGTTCATCGATCCCCTCCCTGTTCTATGGGACCGGGAGCTATGCAGATTGCATCACTTCCGGTCCCATAGCTGTCAGTGCTGGGCTCCTGAAGCCCAGCTATCAGCTATTGAAGTGTGATCTGCACTTCAATAGCTTATTGAGAGTGTAAAGGTGACACTGGTGGTCTTTTGGACCCCCAGCATCACCTTAAAGAGTACCTGTCACCACCATCTGCTATCACATGCATCACCTTAAAGAGTACCTGTCACCACCATCTGCTATCCCTATGTGATAGCAATTAAAGTAATAAAAATAAGTTTTTAAAATTAATATTACATAAAATAAATCTAAAAATAATGTAAAACATTAGTTAATTAACATAAGTCCCCAGCGAGCACACGCGTCGCGTGCACCTACGTATAAAAAAACAACGTACGCAGTACAAATGTTGGGTATCGCCGCACACGCCGGAGTGAAAGCAATAATTCTAGGGACAGTATTTTTGGGTATCTCTAAACTGATGATTTGTGGGGGCTTATAAAGCGTTGTCTGTGGACTTTTTGGGGTACTGAAGTTTGTCGCCGTTTTACGGACGCACACAATTTTTAACCTGGACATGTTGGGTATCTATTTACTCGTTGTAACCTCATCTTTTATATTGTATTTAAAAAATGGGTATTTTATTGTGTTTTGGGGCATTTAAGTACATGTTTCACTAAATTTTGGTGTTTTATAAAGAGTTGCGCTAATATCGTGCAACATAAAAATTTGCAACTGCCACCAGTCTTGGCTTCCAGAAATTATATAATGTTGGGGGGTTTTAAGTAATTTCCAGGCCTAAAATGTGGAATATAACATGGGTGCAAAAAATGAAGAAAAGGCCTCAGTCATGAAGGGGTTAAAAAACACATTTATTTAATTCTTTGTCTAGAAACATATCTTATTTAAAAGTTTGCTCTTCATATATTAGAATAATACATTTAACAGGTGTATTTTTTTCTACATGTATATTTTGCATGATAGTTCATTTGAAAGTATTTGCAGTTCTCTTTTAAGTCTTAATTTTCTACTTTTTAATTTTTTTGTCTTTAAATATGTTTGCAACTGGGCATATTTTATGAGTTAATAAATGCTTTATTGCAGGTGCTCTGGACTCCAGAGGTGGTAGAGAATGGTGTGAAATTCTCTTACACAAGTGGTGATGGAGAGGAAGGATACCCCGGGGAGTTAAACATCTGGGTGACTTACACGCTTGTTGGTAATGAACTGGTTTTGAATTATAAGGCTCAGACCAATAAGACGACACCCGTAAATTTAACCAATCACTCTTATTTCAATTTGGCAGGACAGGTAAGAATCTTCCAATATCCAGTCACTTGTATCAAATTGCAACATGAAAAGAGTTTGACTTTCTTACCATATACAGGTGAAACTCGAATAATTAGAATATCGTGCACAGTTAATTTATTTCACTAATGCAACTTAAAAGGTGAAACTAATATATGAGATAGACTCATTACATGCAAAGCAAGATAGTTCAAGCCGTGATTTGTCATAATTGTGATGATTATGGCTTACAGCTCATGAAAACCCCAAGAACCCCAAATCCACAACCTCAAAAAAGTAGATTATTACATGCAATCAATAAAACAAGGATTGTACATAGAACAATATCGGACCTCTGAAAAGTACAAGCGTGCATATGTACTCAGTACTTGGTTTGGGCCCCTTTTGCAGCACTTACTGCAATTACTTTTGCACGATATTCTAATTATTCGAGTTTCACCTGTATTCATCAAAACCTGATTGTTTTCAATATAAAAATCTGTTGATTTTAAAAAATGTGTGCTGCAAAATGATCAAAATGCAAAGATGTGTGCTAAAGTTGTCCACGTGGAAGCTTTTTCCAGTCACTGAATGTGAACAGGAAAGAAGAAATCTCTCTAACATGAACTTGGAATATTGCCATCTTAGCAGTTGTCCCTATTGAAGATTTTTTTCTAACTTCTTTCTCTGGATTTTTTCTTTTTTTTTTATCCTAACAGCGGTCACCGATACAAATAGATCTCCTCAGTGGGCACTGACACAACAATATAAACTGGACAAAGGATCGATCAAACTATCGATGCACCAATGCCGATACCGAGTATTTGGTCAAGTACTTGTACTTGCCCAAATGCTCTGATGCTTACTCCCGATAACGAAACTTCCGGTCAGAGGGAGATTTCCTCTGACCGGCACTGGCGCAAAGGAACATGGAGCCAGCTTCCCAGCCAATCAGGAAGCCGGGACGTAGGTAATGACTCGCCGCCCGGCTTCTTTATTGCCGGGGAAGCCGGCTCCTTGCTAGCGAAAGCATCGGTATTGGTACTCGGTATCGGCAAGTACCAAAATATAAATATCGGTACTCGATACCCAAAAAAACTGTGTCAGTGCATTCCTAGGTCAAGCCCTTCCCTAATCTATCCTAATAAATAAGTGCTATTTTGGCTTGATCTGTTAGATTGCTTTTAGTGATGGAGAGGAGGTTGAATATGCTTGAGACAGACACCACATCTTCAGAATAGGTTCCAAATTAATATTTAATCAAGCAAACCATAACGGCAACTAGTGATCACAGTTAACACCCAGTTACAGAGTACATGAAAATTGTTAGATCTTGAAATCTAGTCTTGGTTCCAGAAATGCTGAGAAGCATGGAGACTAAAGTGCATGTCCAGCCAAAATGTTTTTTCTTTGTTTTGGATGGAGTGGGGAAGGATTAGAACTGCTGTCAGGCTTTTACTGCTATCCAGAGCCCCATTATAGACATTATCCTCGCTTCCTGTCCTGCTTATAATGTTTTGCTATGCAGGAAGTGAGGGTAATTCTCTAATAGCAACACAGACAGGAATAAAAATGCCTTTCTTTAGTAGAGAAGGAGAAGGTCAGAACCTAACAGATTTTTAGCTCCGTTGGTGTCCCTGTTGCTGATTTTTCCCTCACTGGTGAAACCATTGTCCGTAGGAGAGGAAGTAAGGGTACATTTCTTGCAAAGTCCTGTAGAACAGTAAAACCATAGAACCAGAGGGGGTGTGGCTAGCCCATGAGTGAGTGAGGATGTGTGTGCTTTGAGCTCCTGCACCTGCTACATCCACATCAACTAGCCAGTGCCTCGTAGATCCTGTAGCTGCCTCGGTCGGACTAATCAGCGGTCGTCTTGGAGTCTCTGTACCCGCTCTACTAGCATCAGCCTGCTATCAATTTTATTTTTATTTTAATGACCATGAAATTTCCATTGATGCTGAGCACTACCTTCCGGTAGATGACACAATGATACCCACAGGTAATATTATACAATTTACTCTAGAGAATATGCTGTAAAGAAAGGGCATCGGTATGTTCTCCAATACAGAAGCGTGAATAATGGAAAATCCACTCTACCATTGTTTTTGTTTAGTTTTTTAGTTGACCCATTATTTGCTATGCTGGGTGGTATTAGTAAACTGGTAGAAAGAAGTGCAAAAGTGCTTTTACATTTAGTTATTTAACATTATTATTTAATTATGTAGTTATTAAATATAGAGTGTTGTATTTTAGCAACTCTACTGAACTCTGAACAACACCACATTATTTTAGAGTCCCTACTTAGGCTGGGTTCACACTTAGGCAAATTGAATATACGCGTTTGTCGCACATTTCGTGATGCAATTCGCGGTAAAAGAAACGCGCGACAAACGTGCCTTTCCGAGGGCTACTTGGCTGCATCCCAATGGAAACGTGCGTCAAAAACGCCCCAAAGAAGCCCCTGTACTTCTTTGGGCATAGGACGTTTTGTAGCGCGTTCATACGGCCTGTAATACGCCCAGGTGTGAACCATACCCATAGGAAATAATGGGATTTCGGTGTTTGAGCGTTTTGCAGAGCGTTCGAACGCGCTACAAAACGCCCAGGTGTGAACCCAGCCTTACAGTGCACATACTTTTATTGGCCTTGTCTCTGCAACCTCTGTAAAAGCAATCAACAGTACTTATCTTTCTTGTGGTCAGCTTCTGTTTTGCTATCTTGCACAAAACACTGCTTCTGATAACCACTGTGGGGTTTGTTTGGCGGAGGGAAATTAACTTTGTATTGTGGCACTTGAACAGCCAATTTTCCAAGTGTGGTCAGAAGCAGCCTTCTTGTGTAGAAAAGAAAAATAAAGGTTATCAAACCCATGATGCCTCATCAATGTGATCCCTGCTGTGATCCTGTGGCAACAGCTACTCAGCTGAATGCTCAGTCTCTTGTGGCATCTAAGTTAAGTGCTCAGTCTCCCATGGTTACCGCTTCTAAGATGAGTGTGCACTCACAGGCTCTTTCAGCAATAGCTTCCAAGCATAAGGTGTAATCACCGTCTCCTGTGGCAACAGCTTCTAAGCTGAATGTTCAGTCTCCTGTGGTAACAGTTTCCAAGCTGAGTTCACACTCGCAGTTTCCTCCCATGACATCTTCTAAGCATAAAGCGCAGTCACCGTCTCTAGTAGCAACAGATTCTAAGCTGCATGCTCAGAACTCCTAAGCTGAAAGTTCAATTCCAGCCTTCCATGGCAGAAGTTTCTCAGCTGGAAGTTCAGTCTCAATCTCTTGTGGCAACAACTTCTAGGCTGAGTGTTCAGTCTCTGTCTCCCGCGACAACATCTTCCAGTGTTCAGTCTCCGTCTCCTATGGCAACAGCTTCCAGTGTTTAGTCTCTGTCTTCTGTGACAAATGCTTCTAGGCTAAGATTATAGTCGCATTCTCCCATGGAGTTAACGCGTAAGATGAGTTTACACTGCCAGTCACCTATGGTAACAGTTTTAAAGCAAGATGTGCAAACTCCATTTCCCATGGCAACAGCTTCCAAGCTGAATTCTCAGTCTCAGCCTTCTGTGACAACGGTCTCTAATCTAAATGTATCTTCTCTACCTCCCGTGGTAACAGGTTCCAAGCTCGGTTTATAACACCAATTTCCCATTACAACTGCTTCGGTTTCATCTGGTCCAATGAGTATCCAGCTCAGTTCCTATGTGTCTGGAAGAAAGTAATGACTCAGAGGACTGGACTGACTGTTCTGATGAAGCAGATATTGAAATGGACCCTGACGCCTGGACTGACTGTTCTGAAGATGAAGAAGATCTCAGGTTCTCCAGTACCTGGTATCCTTGGCCCAGGAAATCTAATTCACCTAAGGTCGCCAATCCTAAAATCATACAGTCAGCTAAAATCTCGAAGATCCCTGTTCCACTTACCATAAAGTTGTCTTCTGAGACACTGCCTCCCGTGTCTGCCTCTGAGACACTGCCTTCTGTGTCTCCCTCCGAGGCTCAGCACCCCGTGTCTGCCTCCGAGGCTCAACACTCCATGTCTGCCCCTGAAGCCCGCAAGACCCGGAGCCCTCGTGCCCTAGTGCCCCTGTCCCCATATCGTGACACCTGCAAGAAAGATAAGAAACTGTTTTTTTACAGATGCAAAAAGAGCAAGGCTAAATAAAGGATCTATACTAAACGCAGTTATATTTCATGGAAAACCATAATGATTTTTGGTCCGTTCTACCTATTAACTGCATGCAGTAAAGGTCAGAGGTCAGGAATCACAGGGGAGCTGAGAGACAATCCAGCAATTTGGAGACAGGCAGGCTGAGCTTAAATAGTGTGATCCATTAGCCCATTGTGTCACTTCCTGTGCGTCGTTTGGCGCTCGCAAGTGCCCGTCTTCCAATGGTATGGAAAACGGGACTCCGCGCATGCGCAATAGCAGGTGGTCTCTGACACTTACCTTCAGTAGTTCACCAATGTTAGATTTTACATTAAAATGTAACATATTGCTGATATAAACTATTCAAGTTCTGTAGAGGACTGTGGTTCTATGAACACTGGCGTGTGCACCTCAAACCATTCACCAATCGGCAACATAAAATATGCTGAGGGTCATATATAGTATGGTAAGTGATAACATAAAAACCGAAGACTTGTAAGAATTTGAGGTTTAAACTACCCAGTAGTTAAACTAGACTGTTAATCTGGCCATAATCATGACGGAACTACAAATCTACTCATTCGGTAGGTTATATACTGTAGTTAAATATAAGCATGACTTATTAATGCAGGATGCTGCAGTGCGCTATGCAATAACAGCTAAGCATTTTGCAGCTTTTGCAGGAAACCGGTTACAAATAACAGGTGTGTTTTCCTTCCGCTCAGCAAACTGCTTTATTCAGGTGTGTGTAGATAAAACCATCAGATTTTGAATCTCTAGTTAATGCTTTCATGTTTTCTCGTCTCATAACTTAAATTTAGGTCATATGATTTAATCAGTTTCCCGTTGGTTTATGACCTTATTTAGGGCGTATCACTGTATCACAGGTGACAGGGTTTCCTTTATCTTAAACAAAATTGTACTCCCAACACACACACTATATATATATATATATCTATATAGATATATAATGTTTATATAATGATCCCATATGTGGGATAAGTTATATCTCGACTACACCGCAAACAATGTTCTAGGACTGCGGGGCTCCACTCCGCAATATCTATATTCAAAAAAGCCTCTTCACAGCCTTCTTTCTGATTGCTTCCTAATTCTTTGTCGGATCATTGTCATGCAGCGTACAAGAGTTCTGCTCGTCCCTGTCCATCAGGTACAGGATTGCGGAATTGCTGTGCCCAAATTGTTGTATGCTGCATGAAAATGAGGCTAAGTAGTTATGGCTTTTTTTACTGGCTGAATAGATATAAGACTGGCTGAATAAATATAGGTAAAAGAAAGAGACCTTTGCCATATACAGTATGTGTACCAACTGTGTATTTGGCATGTTGACTTGAGTTTTTTGTCAATTATAAGAACATTTTTCCTCAGCTGTGTGGTTATTTGGTATATTTACCAGTGGATTATATGGAACCTAAAGTTTTAATATAATGGAAGCTGCCAAAAGACCTCCCTTTACAGGGGAAACAATATTCCCCAAAACCGATGCAAAAACCAGCATCCCTAATCGTTATAGGGAAGATTGGTATAATTTCCAAATCATGTCAGCAGCTTGCAAGGCATATATTTTATTGTTGGGTATGGTGATTCTTGCAGGAGACATAAACCCAGTTGAAGGAACAAACTTTGATTTGAGGAAACCAGTTAATGTTGAGAGCCAGATCGCCAAATTGCAAGAAAATGGGTTTGACCATAACTATTGCTTGAAGGAGTCACAAAAAGAACAGACTTGTGCAAGGTGGGGTAACTTTTTTCTCTCTTTTTTTTTTTCTCTCATGTTGTCCTCCTCATGTTTCCCTTCCTCTTTTAACTAACTTTTATCTGCTAACATAATTTTGAAGTAATATGATCTATATTTTACAGGGTATACCATAAGCCTAGTGGCAGAGTTCTCAGTGTGCGGACAACGAAGCCTGGAATCCAGTTTTACACAGCTAATTTCTTGGACGGATCTCTGAAAGGCAAAGGTGGTGCTGTATATCCAAAGCATTCAGCATTTTGCCTTGAAACTCAGGCATGGCCAGATGCTGTAAATAAGGTAAATACTTTCTTTATCTTTTATAGGGCATATTTCACCAAAATGTTCATTTTGATGGCTTGAATTGCAGTTTATCAAAATATATAAATAGTAATATCAATACCAAAAAGTTTAATTATTCCAATGTCTCAATTGCAGATGTTTCTTGGTTAACACCCCATTGTAAAATATGCTAATTAGATATAGGGGGGACTGTGTCCAAGATGGCACTATGAGAGCTGGGAGCTAAACTGCATACTCTGTTAATCCTACCAACTCTGTCCAGGTTTTTGACTGTTACAGCTACCTCTTGTCAGCCGCATCTCTTGCCATATCTTTATGGACCTTTGTATTAGATATTGCTGGCACCCAGCTAAGATGCAGAATTGTAGATAGCGGTTAAGTCCACAATATCTGATATTCATGCTCACCATCCCTGATAGGAAAGTCTGATTAAATGAAATAAATTATAACTTGACTGTTCTGAGATATGTTAGGAGAGAAAACCTCTTCACCTTTTTTTTTATTGAATAGGTGTATAGTGTCCTCAAAGGCAGGTCTACCTCTAATACCGCTGCGGTGTGACTAAAATTTAGATGAGGAACACTGTAGTTCACAGGGCCTGGGTGGCATGAGGTTTTCACTGTACTTATTTTCTCTGGTCTACAAAGTCTCTTTGAACACCTGTAGATAGTTATCAATTTCATGTATGTCATCCTCCATTGCCTAGTATACAGTACAGAAAATCTAAACTTTAAAACAAATTTATTTATACTGAACATGACTTCAAGCTGGCATTGCATTTACTGAACTAGAACAGAAAATCCTAATACTGTCAGCAGATCCAATGTTGACATCCAATGATCCAATGTATTATTAGGAGCTTTGACTGTAGACTCTGCCCACTGACAGGTTGAAACCAAAACAAATCTACTTTCTGTGGATGTAGTTTACCTGAAGTTTGCTGAAATGTTTCACATGATTTTCTGCAGACAGCTAATGTGTATGTTAAGGTCTATAGGCTTAGAAAATTCAGCATGTGTATGGTTAAAAATGGTTTAAAGACCGCATTCAGAGAGAAGGAATGAATGATTCATACTCAGAACGGTCTAAGGTTGCTAGTGGTGTACCTCAAGTTCAATTTTAGAATTGTTAAGTTTTAACCTGTTTGTCAAAAATGTAGCATTTGGGACAGTTCTGTGTTTTGTAGATTACACAAGTAATGTGGTGAAATAAAATCACTACAATGTGTTCCTGATTTACAAGCTGACCTAAATGCACTGTTTGATTGGGCAACTACATGGCAAATGAGGGGGTAAAAATTGTATGCATCATACATTCTAAGGAGGGTAAAACTGGGTGAGACAATGATTGAGAAACATCTGCTTGATCATCATCAGAAGCAGCAACATGAAATACCAATCTTCAACTTCTAGAGCAAGCAAGATGCTTGTACCTTTGAGAGGCGGTGATTGAAGAGATAGAGCGAAATCATCTTGCCCCTGCACAAAGCATTCAAAATACATCATCTTGTATATTATGCAGTTCAGCTTAGTGTCACACCTTCCCTGATTGGCTGCAGTTTCAAAATGCCTGATTGGTTTCATATTACAATGAATGAGTACATTCTCTGAACTGCGGGACCACAGCTTTTTCACTCACTGCGGTCTCTGCAGCATGCTTACAAACTTCCTGGGCACCTGGTACCTGTGGAGGGCCAAAAACTGCACTTGTGCCACCACAACCTAAGGAGCCAGTGTCCACTCAAGCGGTGGTAGATGCACTTGCAACAAGAAGGGTCACTGCGGTGACAGGAGATATTGAAGAAGAGGGGATGGGTCTAGCCCAGGGATCGGCAATGTCAGCTGTTGTAAAACTACAAATCACATCATGCCTCTGCCACTGGGTGTCATGCTTGTGGCTATCGGAATCTTGTAATGCCTCAATGTCACAACAGCTGGAGTGCCTCCCTACCCCTCGTCTAGCCTATTATCTATAAAGTATACATAGTCTATACAAACTTTTTTATTATGATTTGTATTTTACTGTAGACTCTGGACCTATCCTTTAATCCCCTGCCACTTTTGAGTAGAATTTGGTCACACCCACTATTGACATGGGTCACTGCATTAACCACTCCACCCCCATTCTTAGGAATTATGATTTTCAGTAGTTCCCATGTATGGACATCATCACATCCTCTGTTACTGGAATCTTATAATGTATTTTAGGTGTTATCTTCTCCTGGGAGCCTACTGATCGACACAGTTGTAAATATTGATAGAAAAACTGTAAATATAGAGAACACTTCCTGTAACTGTTTTACAGTTGCACAAAGTGTAAGATTCCCCATTGTTTCCTACAGGTAAATCCCTTCAGCTTTGCCACCGTCTTATAGATCAAGTCAACCCAAATAGCTGTAAAAGAAATCAACTCCTTGGTAATTCTTTCATCACTATTTGTTCTACATAACCATTCGCAAAAAAAAAAATTTAATTTGTGTAATAACTAGCGATGCGCCGATATATCGGCCGCAAATGGCACTTTTGGCATAATGCCGAAAGTGCCATTTTCCTGTCGATACATCGGCGCATCCCTGCTTTCTTTCCTCCCCGCTGGGCGCTGCTCTGTGTCCCAGTGGGGAGGAGAGAAAGTGTGACAACCTGCCGAGCGCTGCAGGAGGAGAGCGCTGTGAGCGGCCGGCGCCTCTCCTCCCACACCGCTCAGCCTCCTATCACAGTCCGGCAGAGCGGTGTGGGGACGGAGACAGGCCGCGCTGTCACAGGAGGCGGAGCTCTCCTCCCTACACCGCTCGATCAGCCTCCTGTGATAGCATGTTAGAGTGCAAGTTAAGGTGGCCACACACCTTACGATAATCGTACGATAATCGCGGGAAATCCTGCGATCGTACGATTAAAGTAAGGTGTGTGGGAGCTGTGCGACCTCTGCTACTGTAAGGTCGCACGACTTTTATCTTGGGAACATGTTCAAAAACCCGCCGAGAATCGTACGATTGGTACTGGTACTTGGTACTTCTCTGGTGTGTTGGAGGTGTGGAGAGGGAAAGGGGTGATTTGGTTCATATCTTCTGGTTTTGCCTGAGACTCGGACAATTCTGGAATGAGGTGTGGACTCTTATCGAGAAACGTACGGGTGCTGTCCTCCAAGACAACCCGGCAGCCTGTCTTCTCCATGTCTCGAGTCTTCCGAGAAGTAGATATAAAAAGTTGCTTCAGTTTCATTTATTGAACGCGGTCAAATTGTGTATTCCGGCCCCATTGGAAGCAGACATTTCCTCTTTCGATAGCCTTATGGTATGCCGAGATCAAAGAAATTGAGCATATGAAAAATCTCACAGCGGCCTTGGAATAACCGTGAGGAAAAGTTTAGACGTACATGGTTCTATTGCCACAAGTGTCTATTCTCAGGAGTATGAGGAGGCCCTGCAGAGTGAACTTGACCTGGTGACTATTAGTCAATAGGGGGGAGTGTTGCTGGCCTTCCCCCTTTCCATTACTCTCTATTCTGCTTTTTCTTGTGTGGATTTCCTCTTAGTTGTGTTAGTTCGTTCTTTGTGTTGTTCTTGTTGTCTACATTTTGTTCACTGTACAAATTTTAAAATGGAGGCTTGTAAGATGGATAACCAAACCCACGGGTTCTGTGCTCACTGTTGTTGGAGAAGCTCTGAATATAACATAATTTATATGCTTAAAGAGCATAAAAGGGAACCCCCCCCCCCCCTTAATTAGCAACTTAATCACACTAAAAGACATCCAGCCTCTACTTTACGAAGCCCGCACTCCCGAGTCCTGCAAAAAGAAAAAACTATTCTAGAATCGCTGTACACAATATTATTCCAGCCAATAATATTGTAAATGTTTTTCACTCTTGGGCACTCTCAGGAATCATCTCCTGGTGTATCATAAAAATGTGTTTCTTTCCAGGCAACAATTTTAGCCATGCAGGATAAAACATAACATATGACAATTACAGCTTTTGCAAATGTTTTTATTTCCTGGAATGTAGCCCTTTTGCGTTACACCTCCTGAGAACAAATCTGGATGTAATGATATATTTGTACATTTTATTGTAATATTCTTAAGACAGTGTGCTTCCCACAGAATAGTATCTCTGTCCTGAGAATTCATTAATTTGTCTAGGATTGATCTCGGCAGATCAAAACATAAGCCCTCACTACTGCAAACACAGTGGAAAATGCATCTTTCCCAAACAGCGAGAGAACCAATTTCTCAAAATATTCGTTGTTCAGCAGTACATGAAGAGGTAGATACACACGCTATATGTTAAAAGTTGCTCCTCTTTCAGAAATCAATTCAGGTGTGTCACAATGAACTCAGTTTATAATTTTTATGTATGATGTAGAGCTTTCAGACTACATTGTAACAGTGTCTGTATTATGTTTTGCCCCCTGTACATGGGCAAACCACTTTAGCCTGGCTGCAACCATTGAAAAGGCCTTTGAGAAGTTTTTTTAATTGTCATAGGCAAATTTAGCTGTTGGTATGTAGCCCACCAAATTTTCTAAAATAACTAACAAAACAATCAAGGTACTGTTCCAGGATTTTGATTCATTGGGGTTGATTTACTAACCTTATAAACACACCATGAACATGTATACACCTCTGTAGTGTGTTCCCTCCCAGCATGATCTATGGGTGGAATCTAAACACCTTTGTAGTGTGTACACACCCAGCAGGTGTGTTGTGCAAAGCCCTGCATGAATTGCAAGGTGATGTTGTGTAAATTAGCTCTATGTTGTGTTGCTTGCGTTGATGAATGCAGGAATGTAAATGCATGAGCTAACCATTTTTGTCTAAACTGTGAAGCAGCATTATATATGCATCATGTGCATGATTTTTCCATGTATGGCATTAGTGGAAATATGCTTTTAGAGACTTTTTGGTTGATAAATACGTTTTGCTGTGTAAAAATCACACGCACCGAGTGCGTGCGTGTGTTTAGGTTGGTGAATCACCCCCATTGTCTCATGCCTGTAAGGTGAAAAATTAAAGGCACAAAACAAATTCAGGGGTGTGGAAATTTTGGAAAAAACTACTTGTCCAAGGACTAAAGCGGGGGCCGAATCTACTTGTCCCTCATGACAATCTACTTGTCCTGATACAAAAAATAATTTTAACCAAAACCGTATTTAGTAGTGCTAATACCCCTGAAATTAAATGTTTAAAAGTGACCCAATATCTGGTCCTGTTCTGGAAATCCCCTTTCCTGTTTCCTACTGACTATGACTCCATCCTAGAGTGGTACGTTTGTGTCTTTCCTTCCTTGTTAGGAGGTACAGAACACCGTGCATGGTGTGCCTTTAGTCCCAAAGTCAGATTACTGCAGCCACTCCCCAGGCCAGAACTTGAGTGAAAGAAGCTCCTGCTCCAAGTCACAATGTCTGAAAAGCAGCTGCCCCATTTGTGCAGCGAACCAGACATTGCAGCCATATTCAACTAGGTGGGTCCTCCTAACTGAATTATTGTTCCTAATTGAATAGTTACATATTACTATTTTAAAAAAATAACTGTTGCCATATATTTATTTATCTGTCATGTTCAGATATTACTGGGTATATTTGTACAAATTGAACATTGTAAATCAGCAGAAGTTGTCTTGTTTTGGGTCTCCGAGCAGTGATATGGCTGGCAATAAAATGCTAGAAAAAAGATATTCCCCTGTTCCTGTAAATGTGAGATCTGAAATTATTATTATAGTTTGTTGTGACTTTACAAATACTTTAATTGTGACACCTAGAGCTGTGCAAAAGCATTTCTAGAATCTTGTGGGAAATTGTACCCCTCTGTCAGACACCACATTATATGGGATTTTGCACAATCTAAATATTTCTTGAATCATCAGTTCTGATACTTGTCACCAAATATCCCATGGGTTTGAGTCCTGATCCAACTCTTAACCAATATTCTAATACACAGAGGCAAAGAATTTTAGTCCAGAAGCCATTTTTGAAGGTAAGATTTTTTTTTCTTAGGTTGAAGAGCAAAAGTCGATTTACTGAATCATTTGTTGAAGGAGCTGGACTGAGATTTTTGGGGCAAACAGTGACCTCGGCCCATGAGCTGCAGTTCATGTATTCTGACAGCGGCAGGTGCTGGCTGTAAGAATGCAATAACTGCAGTGATTTGTCCATCCATGCTATTTATAGTGGATAGAAGAACATGTTCGATTTTTGTTGTTCAGTCTGCATGAAAATGCGGGCGGAACAAAAATCAGGCTAATAGAGTATGGCCAGCTTTAATCACATATTTAAAATGCTGCTCGGGCTGCACATTTCTGTAAACAACATTTTACAACAATAGAACTGAGGAGAGAAAAACCCAAGAAAAAGGGGCAGGAACTTTATCCACTTGCAACCTTTTGATATTATAAATGTTTCAAATGTTGTAACCATTTAATTTGTTTCAGTCTTGACCATAATCTATATAAAATGCATGGCAGCTGTCAGTTTCAAACATGGTGAATGATTACACGAAATTATTTACGTTTACTTGATGACATATCTTTATGTTAAGGTAACTATGACTAGCAGAAAACTAGCAGCACACTGACAGTAAATGGTTTAATTTTTTTACATTCTAGCATCAGTTCCCAAACATTCTGCTACACTGTGGTGAAGAGTACAACCAAACAACTTGGTTTGTGTTTTCTGTGGAATAAAAGGTTTTCTACAAAGTAGGTATGCACGCATCTTCTACACCTCCCAGAGAACTACATTCTGGCAAGGGCATCGAACAGAATTTTGAATTTCATTGCATGTGGCGGCTACAAGTTGTTAAATTCTGCTCTAGGCATTGGATGGTACACTAAACAGTGACCATTTGGATAACACAGCCTTACAATGTTGATTAGATTATTACCTTATTTCTCCATGTCAGTATGTTTCTTACTTTGAAGTCACTATTCTTGGTAATATTAATTTTACAAGGCAATTTAAATAGTTACTTTAGCCTGGCAATTTTTATACATTCATGTTTTCATACTTGAATTATCAAAAAATACAACATTTGTAATTGTAACGTTTAATAAATGGCAGAATAAAGTCAATTTAAAATGAAAATGTGTTTTATTTTAATGCTAAATCCCAGACAGATGTAAAAGGCAAACATAAATGCAATCATAATGCATTAATTAAAGTATTTTGTTAAATGCTAGTAGTGTAAGTGCATGAGCTGGACAAATTGCAGTCTACTGTACAGTATGTACAGCAGAGCTCAGAGAGGAGGAGGTAGAATCAACACGGGGAGGTGGTCAGGTGTGCTGCAGTGCAAGGAGACTTGCTGACAGTAGAGAGCCTAATGAGAGATGAGCTCATCAGTGTGCTGCTTCTCCTTTTATTGCCCAGTCACAGCATGGAATTGGGAGGCGAGCCTGTAAGTAAAAGTGAATCTACAGCAGAGAAAAGCAAGGACTTTTGCCCTGCCATAAAGGGCCGTATGGTCTGGCAGAGCTGTGTGCATATCTGAACTGGTTAGACAGAAAAATACATTCTTTGTTGGGTAAAACTGCTCCCTTTTATGTATTTGATATTATGTATTGAAAATGCCACATCATTTAATGTATTTTGTCCTGTTCTGTAATATCAAGGTAATAAACATGTCCCATCAACATCCCTTTTTAAAGTAAAGCTAAATCTCTCCTGTTGCAAGAGATGCAACATCAGCTCCATGCAAGGGTCCAGGATCAGTTCTCATCATAGCTCACTAGAGTGATTTGGCCACTTAGCCCCTCCTAATCTCTGCAGCTGGGTGGCTGTGAGTACCCTTATTGGCCCCATTCACTTTCCATACTAGCAGTATGGTGGATTATAAGTGCAAGAGTACCGATCCTGCAGGTCTTGTCTGCTTACAATTCACTAACAGCTAAAGGGTGGCTTATAGTGTCCCTTCCTTGGGCCTGTAAAGCCAATCAAAAACAGCAACCATGAAAATCAATTTATAACTAGCCTTAAAAGCAAGGTGCACATGGAAGGGCTTTCCGCAATACAAAACACAGAAATTTCCCAGCATACTTACCAGCTAGCCTACAACAAAACAAATTACTAACAACATGTGTTAAAAATAGAGGTTTTAGTTGCACAACTTTTCTTTGCACAACTCTTTATTTGCACAACTCTGCTTTGAAATATTTGGCTGTAGCAAGAGGCAGTTTGTTCTCCGAAAGATTGGAGAGCTGTACAATAATGAGTGTCTGCAGGCAACAGCGAGGGATGGTGGAGGTTCCTCGCAAGTCTGGGCTGCATTTCTGCCAAGAGAGTTGGAGATTTGGTCAGGATCAATGGTGTCCTCAATGCTGAGCAATACAAGCAGATACTTATCCATCATGCCATACCATCAGGGAGGCGTGTGATTGGCCCCAAATTCTGCAGCAGAATAACAACCCCAAACATACAGCCAATGTCATTAAGAACTTTCTTCAGCGTAAAGAAGAACAAGGAGTCCTCGAAGTGATGTTTTGGCTCCCACAGAGTCTTGATCTCAACATCATCGAGTCTGTCTGAGATTACATAAAGAGACAGAAGGATTTGAGGCTGCCTAAATCTACAGAATATTTGTGGTTCTCGAAGATGTTTGGAACAACCAACCTGCCGAGTTCCTTCAAAAACTGTGTGTAAGTGTACCTAGAAGAATTGATGCTGTTTTGAAGGCAAAGGGTGGTCACATCAAATATTGATCTAAATTGGATTTCTCTTCTGTTTATTTACTTTACATTTTGTTCAATAATAAAAATAAAATATTAACACTTTTTTTAAATTTCTTAAAGGATTCTTACATTACAGCATTTATTCACAGTACTGTACAGTACTGTATATAACGTAGGCTATACATGTGGCAGTCACACCATTCCCCTGGTAACTACTCAAACTGTATGTGAAAAGACTTACAGAGAAACGAGTGTCATAATAATCAAATTGCGGGTGCCAGTGCAGCTCCTGTATCTCCACCAACAACCAATGTTGCCTAGGTGACAGAGATGCTACTCACACAGCTCTGCCCATACTGCACATGAAAGTAAACGGATGGATCAAGTGAGAAAAATGCCTGCCCACTAACGCATGTGCAGTCGGGGATATGGCAGCCTAGCAATAGAAAACGCTTCTCCTTGTTTTGACCCACCGGTGCATGCTCACTGCGGGATGGGACGTCATGGCAACCTGAGACACCCATGCTGCTGCGCTATGCAGCCCGGTGTGCATGGGACAAATCCTGTCTTTTCTCCAGTCTGGTTTGGAGTAGCATTTGGCCTTGAGCACCATCAAGGGTCAAGTTTTGGCCTTAGTTCTTAGTTGGCCTTGGTTCTTTTTCAGGAACTGCTTGTCTCTCAACCTTAGAGAAGACGTCTGTACAAGGTGTCGCTCACATTGCTTCTCCTGTATGTTGGGATTTCAACCTGGTTGTGTCGGTCCTACAGACCGCACCGGGAACCTAGATTCCTCTATCTATGCGTGCATGCAAGGTTGCCTTTTTCACCTGAATTATCTCTGTGAGGCAAGTTGCTGAGTTGGTGGCCTTAGCATGTAAAGAACTCTTCCTTGTACTACACAAAGACATGGCTCCTTCCTTTCACCTTAACAAGGACATTGTTCTACTATCTTTTGGGTTTTGCTCCTAAACATCCTTAGGAGATTTCCCTTCATTGCCTGGATGTGGTGTGCGCTGTTTTGGTTTATCTTTCAGCTACAGCTCCATTTCGACAGTCTGCCTCTGTTTGTCATTCCTGAAGATCCCCCTACGGGGCAGCCTGCTTCTGATTCCACTGTTGCTAGGTTGGATTTGACAACTCATTGTATAGGCCCTGTTCACACATACAGCGCTGACCTGTATTTTACCACACTGGATGCCACTGCAGGTCACCAAATAGTAGTGCAGCACACTGCTGTGTGGGGACCTGAATGGAGATTACATATTGTACACTACTGTAAAAGTTAAAAAATAAATAAACAGTGAGAGTACCTTTTATCACACAGTGCTGGAGCTGCCACAATGTTGTTTTAGTGGACAGCTTAGTGTGAACAGCACAACACAACACGATTTGGTGGACAGCTTAGTGTAAACAGGCCTATGGTCTCAGTGGAAAGGTTCCCTCTCTCCAGGTTGAAGTTAACTCGGTCAGTTAATGTTTCATGGGCTTTTTCAGCATTAGGCATTTATTTGTCAGATTTGCAAGTGCATCTGAGGGGTGGCCAACACAGCAACAAGGCTACAACTTGGTCTTCCATTCACACGTTTGTTACATTTTGTCAGGTGAGTGCTCAGGCCTCTGCTGTTACCAGCATCAGTTGTAAGGTTTTTTGTCTTACCTGTATAGGATTTTTGTCTTACCTGTCAAATTATTTTCTGGGATTACATTATACAGATCCCTCCACTCTGTCCTTCCACTGCTACTATTACTTGCTAACAAAACTGAGGCTTGCTGGGAATAGATGGTTTTATACTAGGCTATCCTTACAACTTTGTTTTGCTAGTCTCCAATCTATTAAAGCTGGCAGCTTAACCCAATATTCCTGAATACTTTTCCTGTGTTCCATAATGTACTCTAATAAAAGAATTTTACAGGTAAGACAGAAATCCTATTTTGCTAGCGGATTTTTGTTTAATATCTCATTATTATTATTATTGTTATTTTACAAACATACATGTCTTATTTACTTTACATATTTAATTATGCTTATGCTCCTATCTCTCATTTCAATACTCATACAGAACACAACAATGTATGTATTTCTATTAATAAAGACTTTATTGACTGTTCCCTCCTTCTTCTTCTTTTTTTTTTGTTCCAAGGTCTATGAAAATCACTCGTAGGACACATCTTAGGGTCTGCAACTGTACTGGGGAACTAGAATACATACGATCTTCTATAAAATTCTTTATAGTCTTTTTTACTTTTTAATTCTTCACAATCTTGCAATAGGCTTTCATTTAGCCTCATTGACCAATATGGGTATTGTCTTGAATTTAATTGGGGTATCCTTGGACCATTAAAATGAGTCTCCTGTAGAAACAAGACTTGAGCACGTTGTTTTATGCATATCATAAAGCACCTGAGTTCTTTTTAGTGGAATATTTAGACCCCTCACATTGAGGGAGCCATAATTAATATATGTCATCTAGCCCCATAGAGTCTTTTCCCCTGCCCAATTCCTCCGACTGGTCGAACAAACAAAGCAAAACAACAAAAAGGGGGGGGGGGGCAGGAGACAGCAGTCTACACATCCCTTCTAAGTCTCTAGGACTCTACCTATTGGGGGTATGGCCTACAACCATGTCAGAGCATTTCCCCATCTACCCCACTGCTAAATCACATATGACCCTACTATTCGCTTCTACGTCTCATTTAGTAGGGTCATTATTATTATTAGGGTCTCCCTTCACCTGGTATAGATAGCCATTCATTTACCTTCCCTATTTGTTGTTTGTCATCTTCCAAAATGATGTTACATCCACTTCACATTCATCTCGCTTACTGACGTACAATTGTACTTATTATACCATATATTAATGAGATCCTCATTAATAAATACATTTAATAAAATAAAACTTTTATTTCTATCCATTTATTCGCATTCTTCTTCACTCCCCACTCTCCCGTTCATCTACAGGCAGTCCCTGGGTTACGGACGTCCGACTTACGGCCAATCCGTACTTACGAACTGTGGCTGCAGCAGCCTGTGTTGGCGGAGGCAGCGGGGACACAGACCGCTGCATTCCTACGCTGCCCCCCTTACCTCCACTGATGTCCCGGCCTCCTCTTCCACCGATCCGTCGGCTTCCCGGTCCAGACG